GCCTACCTATCTGTAGTATTAGAAGTGGAAAGAAATGGCCTACAGATTATCTGACTGGAGAGTGGTATTTAGTATTTAAGAGAACTGAGTATAGTGATGGACTTTGTGGGTTTGAATTTCTTATGGCGATGTGACCTTGAGTCTCAGATTGTCGTTGTTAGGTGCCGTTGAGTTGGCTCCGACTCAAAGTGACCTCATGTACAACAGAACGAAACCCTGCCCGGTCCTGTGCCAGCCTCACAGTCCTTGCTCTGCCTGAGCCCATTGCTGCAGCCGCTGGGTCACTCCCTCTTAGTGAGCATCTTCCCCTTCTCCACTGACCCTCCGCTTTAATAAGCATGACATCCTTCTCCAGGGAGTGGTTCCTTCTGGCAGCATGAACAAAGTAGGTGAGGTGAAGTCTGGTCATTCTCACTTCCAGGGAGCATTCTGGCTTCAGTTTTTCCAGGTTAGATTTGTTAGTTCTTCTGGCAGTTCATGGTACTTACAGCGTTCTTCACCAACATCACAACTCTAAAGCGTCAACTCTTCTTCGGTCTTCCTTAATCATTGAAAATACCATGGCTTGGGTTAAGTGCACCTTAGTCTTCAAAGAGACACCTTTGCTCTTCAGTACTTTAAAGAGATCGTTTGCATCAGATATGCCCAGTGCAATACATCGTCTGATTTCTTGACTGCTGCTTCTATTGGTGTTGATTGTGGAACCAAGTAATATGAAATCTTTCACAACTTTAATCTTTTCTCAATTTTTTTGAGTCTCAGATTACTTCCTATAAAATGGAAATAAAGAAACTTACCTTACAAAGTTGCAAGTGGAAGAAATATGTTTAAAAACACATAGCAAACTGAAACATAAGTTGGCATTGTAATAATTCCTCTGAAGCTGTTCTGCAATCTTCAGCCTGGTCCCTTTGCCTAGAGGTTCTGGCTCATTTTAGAATGGGTCCTGATTTATCCTGGGAAATTCTCAAATTCCAGCTCTTCCACATGCATACCCCAGTCTGTTCTTCTAAGATCAGCACTGAACTTGAGATCATAGAAGAAATCTTGATAATTTACTCAAAGACATATGTAACCAAGAAATGATCTTGGAGTCAGTCAGTATGAAGCCAAAAATGAGATTATAGGCTTGTTTGTGACAAGTGCTTGTTTCCCCTTGCCCACCAATACTATATTAGCAACTTTTTATTTTACTATCCGTTGTTGTTGTTGTTTTGTTGTGTGCCGTTGAGTCGGCCCCGACTCATAGCGACCCCTCCTTGGGTTTTTGAGGCAGTATCACTATAGAAGTAGGTGCCCAACCTTCCTTCCGAGGAGTGGCTGGTGGCTTTGAACCGCCAGCCGTCTTACTATCCAAGACCACGTCTAACAGAAAAACAGGAAAAGGGAAAAATGAGGAAACCCCTTTAGGCGAATCACAATAAAAAAAAAAAAAAAGAGTCTAAGCTCATTAAAACTTGAGATGTAAATCAAATCAACTGTGAAATATGATTTTTTTTTTTTTTTTTTTTTTACTATCCAATAGGTTAAAAAAATCATATTTCACAGTTGATTTGATTTACATCTCAAGTTTTAATGAGCTTAGACTCTTTTTTTTTTTTTTTAATTGTGATTCGCCTAAAGGGGTTTCCTCATTTTTCCGTTTTCCTGTTTTTCTGTTAGACGTGGTCTTACAGATTTGTGAGGCTTCTTAGTATATGTTAAGGATGACTTTTTTCACCTCGTAGTAGAAGGGCAGAATTGGGCTGGCATCTGACCTGTGCCCTACTCTGTTCAGAACTTCTCTGTCACATTTCTGCCGTCCACTGCTGGCTTCAGAAATGTGCTGGCTGCCATGGCTGGTCTGCACATTTCCTAGGAAGGAAAGAAGAGTTTGCCTTCTGTGGCTCTAATTCTTTATTTCTTGGGAAGCAGACATGAATTTCCTGTGCCCTTCTTTCCTGTTTGGAGCCTTTATCAATACAGTCACATGGCTTCTGGTATTTCCTTTCAGTTGAAGAAACTGATCTGTCTGATGTAAATGTGATATTGAGAATAAGTAGGTTTACGATACACACACACATGCATTCAGCACAACAAAAGCTATAGATATGGATGCAGGTCCTCATTGACACTGTCACAGATTTTAGAATCCTTAATCTGAGTATTTATATCACTAATAGATAGTGAAAAAATTTCTAAAAACTTAATCTTGAATTAAAATCCCAGTTATGGTTATTATACAGCACACAGGTTATTTTTAACTTTGCAAATAAAGACTTCTAATAACCAGAAGGCTGGAGGTTCAAACCCACCAGCCACTCCTCGGAAGGAAGGCTGGGCAATCCTACTTCCGTAGTGATACTGCCTTGGAAACCCAAGGAGGGGTCGCTATGAGTCGGGGCCGACTCGACGGCACATAACAATAACAACAACAATAGCCAAGTGCTTTATAAACATGGAAGCCCTTTGATGCCTAACGATATAGAAGTCTGTGTATTCTAGTAGTTGTTGTCCCCATATAACCTGGTACAATACACTGGTCTAGCAGTGCAGACTTTGGAATTCAAACAAGGGTTGTTCTTTATTTGTTCCCATTTTTGGCTCGACTCATTTAATCTTAAATAAATTAGCCTTACTACCTTGGATTCATGATCTGTGGAACTGGTTATATAATACACTTTGTTTGCAATGTTGAAAGTTTCAAGTAGATGATATAAAACATTCTTGATCCTTGAATTAAACAGTGAATTATATAATTTCTTCAAAGAAATAATATGTATATAAATTTCTTCAAAGAATCTTCAAGCATGATATAAATAGAACACATTAATTTTCATAGTATTCCTTTGAAGTCTGTCGCTAGTATTGCTGTTGTTATACAGATGGCAGGGCACTTTGAAAGCCCTAGTGAGCCTCCAGGATGATTGAACTGAAGTCCTATGTCATTCTCCTTCTGAAGAATTTCACTTTGTTACACTGAGAGCAGTGATTGCCTCTCCTGTATCTTTATGCAAAGATGATGCTGGGTGATTATGTCATAAAAACCAGGGCTTTCAAATACAATCAGCTACTGGCTAATACGTGGAATTCATCATTCTATGATTTGAATTGGGAAGGGCTACATGAATTCTTGAAAAGTGAATTATGGAAGTTTTGGATCAGTTCCTACCTACAGCAATGTTAGTTAGAGGGGTTTGGATCTAAAGTTCAAAATCTCTGGAGTAGGAAGAGCCACCATCTCTCCTACTTCTTTGGATTTATACTCTTCTTACATGATGAGCTTAGACTCTCCTGGCCTAGGAGACAAAACCTTCAACCCCAGTTTCCCTCCCTAAGCAAAGAACAAGGCAGTCAGCAGTTGTTTTCCCTAGCTTCAAGGCAGCCCAAAGTGAACACGTACCCACTGGCTTCAGGACCATTGCCTGTACCTTGCTGTAGTGAGTGACCCAGGTCAATACCATTTGTTGGAGCATCTTGAAGTATAATGCAAACCCATCCCTTCTGGAAGAGAAACGTCATAGAGAAACTCATTTGGTTTTCTCTGCTTGAACAGTCTTCCTGGTTCTTCTAAAATACGTTTTAAATAATAAAATAAAATGGTAAGATTTCCAGCTTGTTGCCAAGACGATTCCAACTATAGCAACCCTACAGGACAGAGAAGAACTACCATATAATGTTTCCAAGGTTATAACCTTTTCAGAAGTAAACTTCCACATCTTTCTCCTGTGGCAAGGTTGGTGGGTTTGAACAGCTGACCTTTCAGTTAGCAGCTTGGTATTTAACCACTGCACCATCAGGGCTCCTAAGGCAACCACATGTATTAAAGTAGTTATCAAAATATTAAAACAAATTTTTGATATACTAATTAATATGTGCTTCTTTAGTAACTTACTCTAACCATTGTAAACTTGACAAGTATGGGTATAAGAGATACTGTGAGATACCTACAATAATTATAATATGATACGACTTTTGTTTAAACCTTAGTATAAAACTAGAAGGTAGATGGCTTTAGTTATAATTCTTTCTTCTGTGCCCCACCATGAACAAAGACCCAAAGAGATTTGAAGACAACTCCTTGGTTCTGTTGCTGCATTTGGAAAGTCATAATAGTACTTGATCGTGTGTGATTTTTCTACTGCTGTGAAGTTCTAGAAATCCCCAAAACACAGTGCTTCATATATAGTAAAATGTTTGTTTGAAACATTGTATAAGATGGAACAAAACTGTAGAAAAAGTCATTCTGGGACTAGGGAGGGAATTTTATTCCTTGGCTATGTGTAATTAAATCTCTGTCAATGAGTATTTCCTGGAAAGAAGTTAATGGCTTCAAATCATGAAGTTTAGCCATCAGATCACCTTTATACTCCTATCCTGCTTTGAGTAAAGCGATATAAGGGAAGATGAGAGAGGATATGAAGTGTCTCCTCTCTTGTTTTTTTTAACAGACTTAAATTTTTATTTGGGAGTCAGAAGAGTGGGGGTGTGTGTGTGTGTGTGTAGAATGATAATACTTGCATTAGATATCCAGGTTTTTTTCTTCCCAGATCTATTTAGCTCTCTGTGGAATTGAGATTAAATTAAAAATATGCTGAGATGAAACACTTGAAGCTTAACTATTTTGATTTCAGATAAAGCAATAAGTTCTTTAATTTTCTAAAATATATACTTTCTTCCATCACCACCATCAGGCCCCAGGAAAGAAATTTCCTGAAAAGATTCAGCTGGTGAGATTTGAGTTATTTTTTCCCTGGCGTAAATGGCTATTTCCGTTGTACAGTAGGACACAGCTCAAAATGTTGACATGTTCCCAGCATACTTAGGGGGGAGGGGAACGAAGGGAGATGGTGAAAGCATGCAAGTATGTGAACGACAGAGAGTTCTGGCACGATGATATCTACATAAGGTGGGAGGGACAGTGTCTTTGGATGTAAATCCTGCAGTAAGACAGCAGGTCCCATTTAGCCACCTAGATCTGGAATGGTAACACTTTGTCTTCTCTCCTCTTCTCTTCAAAGGTAAATTTGAAGAAAAAGAAGATAGTGTGCCTAAGCTGGAGCAGCTCAACAGCTTGGGTTGTATGACTAACATGAATCTAGTGTTAACAAAACAAAATTTGCTACATATGGAGTTGTTACTATTGGAAACCTTTCAGTGGAACCTCTGCCTTCCGACAGCTGCCCATTTCATCGAGTATTACCTGTCTGAAGCAGTACATGAAACAGATCTTCATGATGGCTGGCCAATGATTTGCTTGGAAAAAACGAAACTGTACATGGCCAAATACGCAGATTACTTCCTAGAAGTGTCTTTGCAAGGTGAGCCGTGGATGCCAGTGAGTGATTTGTGAGCTTGGGACTTGTGTATTCTGTTGCTTAAGTTCATTTTTGGTGTCTCCACAGATTATGCCTTTCTAAATTATGCACCTTCTTTAGTAGCTGCTGCATGTGTGGCTTCTTCAAGGATTATACTTCGTCTTTCTCCAACGTGGCCTACGAGACTGCACCGTCTTACTGCTTACTCCTGGGATTTCCTAGTGCAGTGCATTGAACGGCTATTGATGTGAGCCTGTTTGTTCTTTGTAATTTCTCAGTATTTTTCTTCATATAGCTTTCCCTAAAAACGAAGTCTCAAAGGCACAGAACTTGTAGGATATATGCTCTGGCAGCTACTTACTGCTTTGAGTAAGCTGCTGCGTGAGCAGCACCCTACAGAAAGGGAGGCCTCCTTGGATGTCATCTAGCTAGAGGTTGTGTGAATCATTGCTAGTATGATTCTGGATACATGGTAGGGAAAGGACCTGTTCTTGTGTGTCTGGAAGCCTATAACTCTGGAATCAGTCCAGGCAAATCTTGCCCCAGTCCCCTTTCCATATTTTTGAGTTCTTGGAGCCACCAGGATGTCACCAGAATTGCAGCTACAGTTAAAGTGCTTCTTGTGGCTATATTCCCCAAGCTGGAAATAGCCCTCAAAGCTAACCACACCCTTTTCCCAAGATTTGTACCAAGGAAAGGCACTAAATGGATAAGAGTGAGATCTCACTGTTAAAATTATGGCACAGTGACTGATACCTAGACAGTGGTGGCAGTGTGTGGAGTCAGCTCTTTGGGCAGTAGGCATGACTTTCTTGGAAATTCTTCTCAGGTAACATTATTAACAGACTGCTTTCTTTCTGTTTGATAGTGCTCATGATAATGATGTGAAAGAGGCAAACAAACAGAGAGGGCAGACCGGACCTCAGTCAGCACAGTTAAGTGTGTTCCCGACAGCCTCCCAGCCCTCACGGCCAGTTCCCTTTCAGCAACCCCAGTACCTGCACCAGATGCATCAGACCTCACTGCAGTACCGCCACCCTGTATCGGAACAACCGAGCTGTCAGCAGATTGTAGCTACCACACACACCTCATCTTACACATTACAGACATGTCCTACTGGCTTCCAAACCAGCGTTCAGGGCCTTGGGCACATGCAGACTGGTGTTGGGATGTCGTTAGCAATACCAGTAGAAGTTAAGCCCTGTCTAAGTGTTTCTTACAACCGGACTCACCAGATAAATGAACATTATCCTTGCATTACACCATGCTTTGAGAGGTGATTATGTGTGAAGCTAATACCTGACCCAGACTGTTTTGTGACTTGAAGCTCTGGGGCAAGATTTTTTAAAACTTCTCTTCAAAAGGAAAGTGGGTGGAATGGCATCCGAACTCTTCAGATCCCAGTTCGGGGAAAACTGGATAGTACTCCAGGAACACCTGAGAGGACTAAACAAACTCTGCAAACACTTTAATGGTGTGTATATCAGATCTTGTTACAACAAATCCCTGTATGACAGATTTGCAAGCCCTGGCCGATGGTCCAGATATTTCAAAAATATTCACTACAACAGAAAATTTGGACCAACCTCAATTCACCATATTGAGATTTGACCTGTGGTGAGCTCTTGGCCTAATATGGGCTTCCTATGTCAAAGACTAATGTTTATCTGTGGACTTGCCAAATAGTCTTTTATGAAGGAAGGTTACAGTATTAATTTTTTAAGAGGTTTTTTGGGTTTTTTTACAGTTTTGAGTTATGTGTTTGATTACAGATGAATTTTTGACCAAGTTTAAAATTGTGATTGCTCTGCTATACCAGTCTGTGGTGCAGTCCAAATGTTTTTTTTTAGATGATTCCATATCACTTCCTATCACAAATAGCTATCTGGATTTATGTATTAAAGTTAAGGATGAAGTAGATCTCTTACTTTAAAATCATGGTCATAATTTTTCTATTTTTTTCTTTAAATGATCAGCCTCAAATCTTTAGATTAAAACACATTTAACTCAGGGAATGTATACTACTTGGAAACACTTACCTGTAAGGCAGCAGGCTTTGGGAACGTTAGTATGAACGACCTTTATAACAGGCTGAAATATTCATGCTGGGATGTGTTTTCAGATGAGAACATAGATTGTAGCTCAGGATGGATGAAGTGGTGGTTCCTAGACTCGTAATACCTGGATGGGCTTTGCATTTCTAGTGCAATCAATGATCTAACTCAGATTTGACTTTTTCGAGGGGAGGCATAACTGTAAACTGCCACAATTAGAATAAAATTCTGTCGGTTTCCTTGGAGTGAGGCTTGGCCAGGGTGGTTCTCAGGTTGTGCTAGAGCAGCACTTTTTCTGTTGCTGGGAGACAGGCTTTGTGGACAACCTTAGAATCCAGGTGTTGGTCTATGCAGGCAAGAGTACTGATTGGTAAACTTCAGCAGCCGCTTGGATTGGCCCCAGAACTGTCCAGGGACAGCATTTCACTGTACTGGTAATGAGTGAACAGCAATCACAGTCATACAGCAAGGACAATTTGGGAGGACAGCATTAGGGGGAATAAATTTAACAAAAGATTATGATAACTAATAAACTGTATACATTATACTCTAATCTATGGGAGAAGAGAGATTTGGTGGAGGGAAGCTTTCTCATTTAAAAATTAGTATGGTGTGTCTTTTTGTTAATTTTTATTTGAAAGATAGCACTTGAATAGAAAGGAGTCTGCATGGCAGATAATGTGACTGCCACAATGTGCATTGAAGACATTATTACAAAGCTGTTGTGGGTATGCAGCAGGAGGCTCAGCAGTCGAGCCAGTGGCTTTTGTTGGGAAGGGGCTCAACATGGTAATGGATGGATCCAGGGGGCTCCAGTGGACGAATGTGGGTGAGTGACCTGGGCTAGCGGGAATTTTGAGAGAAATATCCGTTCCTTAAATGAAGATGACTTTTATATTTAGAGCATGTAGGGCATGATATGGATTTATTAGTCTGGTAGAAAAAAACAAAATACTCAGGTAAGAGAAACACTCACTTGTAGCAGTTTTCAAGCATGAAAATTGTTTTCCAAAAGTATCATTACTTTCCCTCTTTCCAGAAGGCTGCTAATTGGATTTTGGTAGTTCTTACCTCAAGAAAACTTGAATTATTTAGGGGAAAGTAGGTTCAAAAGAGAATCTGTCATTCACATTCAGAACCCAGCAACCTGGTGTCCAATTTACAGTATTTTAACTACCTCAGTAATACTATGAATGTAAGGTATTGGGATAGAGGTCCCAACTTGAAACAACAGCCGGTGCCTGTGGTAATTTAATGTCTTGTCAAATGATTTTATCGATTGGTTTAAATGTCATTCTTGTTATAGAAGAATATGCCTTTTTAAAAAAGCTTATTATTAACGTTCCCAATTTATATTTAAAGACGCTAAAGAACACTGGATTGATTTTGGGGGGGGAGGGAGAATAAAATAATCAGTTACTATTGCTGCATACCCGGGTAGAGTAGGATGTGATGGTTGCAGAAACAGAACTATTTTTGAAAACAGTATGTTTCAATATAAATACAACTCACAACTGCTAGCTTTTGGGGGTGGGAGAATTGTGTGGGTTTTGTTTAATTTATTGATTAGTCTTTAAGGTAGGTTTGGATTTTTGTTTGGTTTTTCGTTTTTGAGATTACTGGACCATTGTTAAATGTGTACTGTGAACAAAGTAATATGTATAAAGGGCTTTACCAAAGTCCACTAAATAAACACTACTCAAGTACAGACTGCAAACCAAAATCTATCTATGTTACCACATTAATTGCAAATAGTGAGTATGGTGCTAAAGTCTACACCAGTGGAATTAGATGAGTGCTATGCACTTAATTTTAAAATAAAACTAGTTTTCAGTAAAATGGTTTTGATGTTTTTTTTTTTTTCAGGGTAAATTTGACATATATCTAGCTTTATTGAACCATGTCATCATATAAGTCAGACGTGGAATCATCATTGTGCTAAGAATTGTTACTGAGAACCACCCAGATGTAGAATATAACTAATGTTGGGAAACATTTGTCCGTTCATTATTCTATATTGAGCATCAAATTCCACAAAAGTATATTGGACAACAGCTGTTGCCCTCTGAGCTTAAAATCAGCAACTGCAGATTCCAATTTATTAAACAATAATGCAGGCTTCAGAAACTGACATCTGTTCTCCAAAGTAGGGGCACAGTAAAAGCAACAGGGTCAACAGTGAGTGACAATGGTCTGTTCACCTAAATATAACTGTCATTTGCTACTTAAAATTTAGCAGATAGAATTTGTTCTGAGGGGTAATATTTAACAGGTTTGTACATGTGGGTTAGGAATTATATTTCCTCAAAAATATTTCTAAAATTAGTCCTGTATATTGCCACTTGCTCAATCACAGTTCCAAGGTTTAGCAAGACTAAAAGACAGTTAATATGCAGTGTTCTTTAGGGATGAATATAAGGAAAAGTTAAGAACAAGCATTCCAAACTAGGCCAGGTAGCTTTGTGTTCAGGCGATTCTGAATCCCACGTGACAAATTTATTATCAGCAGCTGCGCTTCTGAAGCGCCTAGTGAAAGACTTGCCTTCCCCGCCTCAAGCAGCCTACATCTAACTTGATAAATAACTAACTAGCACACTTGACCCAATTATAATGATGGAGAATTTGGAACTCAATTTTGTGTTAGTTATCATTCAACAGATCCAAGAGTAACAGTATGGTTGGTTTGGTAACAACAAGACCAGACCTAGTCTTCCTGTAGGAAGCAGTACTTGAGACTACGCTACCACTATTCCACTGCTCTCAAAACCAGCTCTGCTGCTTACACTGTCAGCATTCCCATCCTCTCAGCTTGGAGTCTTTGAACCCCTGATATGGTTTGTAATTTATTTATATGTAAATGTTTTCCTTTGTCCATAACTGTTTTTGTCAGAAGGATGTGATTTAAACTGGTAAGGGCCATTGTATTGTCTTTTGATTTGGTAGCTTTCCCCTACTAAAAACCAAACCAAACTCACTGCCATCTGACTCACAGAGACCCCTCCTTGGGTTTCCGAGCCCATATCACTATGGAAGTAGATTGTCCAACCTTCCTTATGAGGAGTAGCTGAAGAGTTTGAACTGCCAGCCTTCTGGTTAGCTAAGTCAAATGCCTTAGGCACTATGGCACCAAACAAACTTTTAAAAATGAATAGTGATACCCATGTGGCCACAGTTGGTAATGGGCCTAGAAATCCCGTTATATGAGAAACAATTGAAGGAACTGGTGAGATTTTCAACTGGGGGAGATTAAAGGAAGGTGAGCCACCTGCCTTTTCAGATGTCAAAGTTGTCATGTTACTCCAAAGGGTAAAATTGAATCTAGTCATAAGTTTCTCGTGTTTCAGTGAACAAAGCCAGGATGCTACTAACAGCAGCACTGCTTTAAGAATACAAGTTCCTAATCTCTAGAGGCCAGCTGACTTGACCAGGAATGGGCTATAAGTAATCCTTGAGCCTGGATGTAAATCAAAGTGGATGACTTCTATGGTATCTTCCACTTCTCAAGAGTTTCTGAGACCTGAACAACAACAACGCAATACACTGTTGTGGAGTTGGATCCGGCTCATAGCAACCCCTCCTTGAGTTTCTGAGGTGGTATCACCATGGAAGTAGATTGTCCAGCCTTTCTTCCGAGAAGTGGCTGGTGGGTTTGAACCGCCAACCTTCTGGTTAGCAGTCAAATGCCTTAGGCACTACACCACCATAGCTCCTTCATCATCTCTAATGATGGCAAAAAGCAAACTGCCCTAACCTGGTGGAAGCCCTTCCTTCCTATACTCATCTTAATTGGACAATGAGGACAAACTCGCAGAGAAGTCATGGAGAAAATAAGGCTGGATAGAGTGAGGTTGGGTTATAGCTTGAAAGCCAGAAGCTTTTTAGGAGGATGGAGAGAACCTCTGATGATTTGTGCTGTGATCAATGTGATTTTAGGAAGAATGATCTGACAGTTTGCAGAGCAGGAAATGGGAGTCAGGAAGCTTTACATAATAAAGACTAAGTAATGGAAGTGTATGTATTTAATAGTACAAAGGTAAACCCTGAGATAATAGAATGATAAAGTTGGGTGATGGAATAAGGTTACTAATTCTATATTACTTAGATATTAGCTAAATCAATAGAGAACTGAGGGTACTATACAATTAGAGCATTACAAAGGTAACACAGTGCAAAGAAATGCCCAAAGAAAATAAATAGTCCACTTACTGAAATTATTTTTAAAAGAACAAATAGAGAAAAGATTAGAAAGTAATATGTAAAACTAAAACCAAACATACCAAATCAATGAAAGTAAGTGGGCTAACCTTAACTATTAAAGGAACAAGCATTTCAGAGTGAGTCAAAAGCAAAATTAAAATCTGTGCAATGTAAAGGGAGCTCTGGTGGCTTAGTGCCTCCAGCATGTGACTGCTAACCAGAAGGCTGGTGGTTCAAACCCACCTGCCACTCCTTGGAAGGAAGATTGGGCAATTTACTTCCATAGAGATAACTGCCTTGGAAACCCCAGGAAGGGTTGCTATGAGTTGAATCTGACTCAATGGCAGTGAGTTTGGTTTTTTTGGTTTTGGTTTATGCAGTTGTGTTAGACTGGGTTCTCTAGAGAAACAAAAACCAGCAAAGCTTATATATATATAAAGAGAGAGAAAAATTTATCTTAGGAA